ATATATATATATATATACATATATATACATATATAGATATATATACATATATATATATATACATATATATATATATATACATATATATATATATATATATATATATATATATATATATATATATATATATATATATATATATATATATATATATATGAAAAAAGTTTCAAGTAAAATAAAAAATCTTTAAATTTTATGACATCTTCTTCATCCGACAACAGAGGACAATGTCACCAATATCAAGTAGGCCACATCCACTAGCTTTGCCGGTGGCGACCATGGAATTTTCTCTAGTTTGATGGAAGAAAACAAGAAAATAAATGCAATCATTGCCACTACCATCCTTGGGTAGATCTATCTACTGTAATCACATTTTTGTACTATTAGTCATCTAATGAAGAGACCAATTAATGCGATGCCGACACAACTCATCAAATAATTTTGACATACCATATATTAATACTAATAATATATGAGAAGGATCTTAGTATTTTTCTTTTTTAAAGTCATACATATATTCAATGATAAAATATGTTATTATTGAAGAGTTTTTTTGTGAATAAGATGAGGTAACATGTATTTACATTGATCTCTCTCTCTCCATCATATGTTCAAATTATATATTTAAATATATGATTGATCTTCAAATTATAGATTGATTAATGATTAGAGAATATAGAGTTGACATATCGTATTTGTCTATATCATGTTCTTTTATCATGCACTCGTAAGATTGAGTTTCCATCAAGGATATCAATTTTGGATCGATGCAATCGAAATATTTGCAATATACTGAGATGCTTTATGAAGAAATATAAACTGATATAGTATAATCTCCGATTATATTAGTAATGATAGTATTTATATTAAGATAATTATATTTAAATTACATTAGATAGATTGGATCTCATAGGAACCGACTACTGAAGCAATTATTCACATCAAATCTAGCGGGGCCAATACAGGGGAGACACGCATCTGTGCGTGCCGGTGCCGTTGGCCACCCATGGAAGACGCCATTAAATCTCCTGCTCTCCTCCTTTCTCTCTCCCATCTCTCCCTCTCTCTGAGCTCGCAGGGAGAAAGGATTGGGTTTCGCCGACATTTGTTTCCGTCCTCCGACCGTAATCCAACCATACGACCCGGTAAGATCCCGTAATCTTGACGCTGCATGCAAGCTTTGTCTGCCAGCTCGCCATTTCCTTCTTTGAAGGATACTTACTCTGCAGTCTCTCTTGTCAGATCTTCTGTACTAAGTCTACTTGCGAAGCTCTTTGTATCCCTTGCTTTTTTGGTTTGTTTTTGTTTGTCGTGCATTACTCTTTGTTGTCTTCACCTTCTATGACTGTGATCTACTAACGGACTGGAGGTGGGAGCTGCTTTCAGTCTTTAGTCTCACCCCTCATTTTGACGAGTTCATAAGCTTGATTTGCTCATCGGTAGCTTTTAAGAGGATTTTATGGTCTTTTGCATTCGTAAGTTTGAGTCGATATCAACACAGAAACTCAGATCATGAAGAATTTTTATGCTCGTTGGGATGGATGTTAGCTTGACTGTCTCATTGCTAATTCTAAGGGGATTTATGGTCTTTTTTGTATTCGTATGTTAGTCATTTGCAACAAAAAAGAAACTCAATTCATGAAGAAGTGGGTTTGTTTTATTGTTTTAGGGATCTTAACTTTCTTTGAGGTTTAGGTTTCTTCCCTCGATATGACAAGTTCATAAGCTCAATTTTCTCATTGGTAGCTTTTAAGTGGATTTTATGGTCTTTTGAATTCATATGTTGAATCATAGCAACAAAGGAGCTCAATTCATGAAGAACTAGAAAGAATTCTTTTATAGTACAGAGGATCTTAACTTGCTTGAAGTTTCGGTTTCTTCCCTCTGTGTGACAAGTTCATAAGCGTAATTTTCTCATTTGTTGCCATAAGAGGATCTTATGGTCTTTTGCATTCATATATGTTGAATCAATAGCAACAAAGAAACATAATTCAGGAAGAAAAAGGATTCTTTTATAGTATTAGGGGATCATAACTTGCTTGAAAATTTGATTTCTTCCCTCAAGGTTATATGTTCATGAGCTTAACATAAGAGGATGTTATGGTCTTTTATAACATGCATTGAATCAATAGCTACACAGAAACTGAACTCATGAAGAACAAGGATTCTATTATAGATTCAGAAACCTCAACTTGAAGTTAAGGTGAAAGTATTTCTAAATGCACATAATTAACTAACTAGGAGGATTCATCAAGCTACTAAGCAAAGAGGAAACTGAACCATTACAGTTAAGTTGCCATTTGGTATATAGATCATGGTTAACTATGCTGAAAAAGCAAAAGAAAGGTACTTCACCGGTAATCTACTTCAGTTGCTGCAAAAGTCAAGGTTCTTTGGCTTCTTGCATTGATGAATCCTGCCTGTGCGCGAGCTGGAATCGACTTCCTGCATTACAGCTGAAGCGTCACGACAATTCGCTCCAAAACTGTTGCGAAATTTGCGCTTCCGATGACACCTGCTTTGCCTTTTGTAATGCTTCTCCAACTGCTTCATTGCAGCTTTCAGCTTTCAATTCCTCTAGTGTTATTGCTTTCTTAGCACGACTCCTTTACGCATGCCCTATGTTTAGAATCCAGGAATCCCTGAGGACACAGTTTTACAGTTGTATCTGCATTTATAGGTATCAAAGTAGAGTTGCTACGGAAAGGAACTTTTATAGCAGCATGCGGCAAACTACTTGGATGGACCGTCTCATCTTTCTTGCTTTACATACCTGATTTCTATAATTTGATGAGCAGGGTAACACAGCAGCCACCACACCGAGGAGGAAGAGAGGAGCAACAGGCATGAAGGCGCTGATTCTTGTTGGAGGATTTGGCACTCGGTTGCGTCCCTTGACGCTCAGTGTCCCCAAGCCACTGGTTGAGTTCGCAAACAAGCCCATGATTCTGCATCAGGTATAATAATCAGAGTTGGAGTTCTCTACATCTCAACAAATGAGTTCCATGATGATGAATTTGGTTCTGCATGCAAGATGGTTGATGATCTGAGCACTGATTTAAGTGTTGCATGTTCTGATTCTGTTTGTTCTGCAGAAGGGAGAAGATGACATGTTCAAAGATCTTGCTCGATTCAATAAATTACAGCTGTAAATAAAAAGATGATGACTTTGTAGAAAGATTAACCTAACCTTGTTCATCAGCTGTAAATTGATTATAATTTAGGAACATCATAGGGGATAAAAGACACACAGCCTTTACAACAAGAAGCATCTTATTAGTCGGCATAACCTTCTTTTATATCACTTTCAATTCTTTTTAGGTAACATCAACATGTTTATCTTTTGAATAGTTATGATTTGTTAGGTTCAATCAATCACAGCTGTCAACTATTACACTTAATAAGGATGTCAAATGTAGAGAAGCACCAACTTTTCTTCTGCTATAAGCCAGCTAAAATTGAGGAAAGACGGTAATTGTCCTTTCTTTACTGCTAATTGGCTAAAATTGAGGAAAGACCGTGTTCGATTCAATTAGTCAGATCTGTAATTTTGCTTATAGAAAGGTTAATTCTTCTTGATCAGCAGCAACGCATTCTAACTAGACGCATCTCGATTGCCATATCCTTCTTTGTTTCACTTTCAAACATCATCATGTCTAGTTCATCTTTTTCTTGTAAGCTATGTGACCGCATGGCATCCGCACACATCAGGGGTCCTGCGTAATCCAATTAATTACATCTGGAAACTTCTACTCTTAGTATATGTGCCAATTGTGTAGGAGTACTAAACTTCTCTTCAGCTACAAATTGACAAACAATTTGATTCCTTCGGAGCTAAAAATTGACAACACTCAAAATATGGAGACCGAATGATTCCAATGGTCTCTTTGCATCACTTACAATTCCATTTTAGTTCACACCAACGTCATGACTTGCCATTACCGATTCAACATATAAACTTTATTCTGCTAGAATTGCTTCTTTCGTAAGAAAATTATGTATTCAATCAATTCTTGAGGATAAGACATTTCGAGGGCATTGAAGATGATAAATCAATGTACTCATACTAGTTCTTGATTGTGTGCAAGTAACACTGACCTCTCCAAGTTGTGCATTGATAAGAATCGTTTCACCTGTCTTCAGATTGAAGCTTTGAAAGAGGTTGGAGTGACAGAAGTTGTTCTTGCCATCAACTATCAGCCTGAGGTAAAACTTCCATCTTTGCTAGCCTCTACAGTGTGCAGTCTTCCTGCCTTGTTCTTCGACCTGTGCCAACATCATCAGTTCCATTGCAGGTGATGCTCAACTTCTTGAAGGAATTCGAGAACAAGCTCGGTATCAAAATCACCTGCTCCCAAGAGACTGAGCCACTGGGAACGGCTGGGCCACTGGCTTTGGCGAGAGACAAGCTGGTAGATGGCTCCGGCGAGCCCTTCTTCGTCCTCAACAGCGACGTCATCAGCGAGTACCCGTTTGCCGAGCTGATCCAGTTCCACAATGCACATGGTGGAGAAGCCACGATTCTGGTGACCCAGGTATTGAATGATCCGAGCATCTGCGGGTCCTCTCGTCGATCATCTGAGCTCTTCTTGTTCTCGGCAGGTGAATGAGCCGTCCAAGTACGGCGTCGTGGTCATGGACGAAGAAACTGGAAAGGTTGAAAGGTTCGTGGAGAAGCCTAAGGCCTTCGTCGGCAACAAGATCAATGCGGGCATCTACTTGTTGAACCCCTCGGTCCTGGACCGCATCCAACTCAGGCCCACCTCCATCGAGAAGCAGGTCTTCCCTCAGATCGCTGCAGACCAAAAGCTCTTCGCCATGGTGCTCCCCGGGTTCTGGATGGACATCGGGCAGCCCAAGGACTACATCACGGGCTTACGGCTCTACCTGGATGCCCTGCGGAAGAAGTCCCCCAGCAAGCTGGCCGCCGGCTCGCACGTCGTCGGGAACGTGTTGGTGCACGAGACGGCCGTCGTCGGAGAGGGGTCCTTGATCGGGCCGGACGTGTCGGTCGGACCGGGCTGCGTGGTAGAGGCCGGGGTGAGGCTGTCGAGGTGCACGGTGATGCGGGGCACCCGCATCAAGAAGCACGCGTGCGTCTCCGGCAGCATCATCGGCACGCATTCCACCGTGGGTCAGTGGGCGCGGATCGAGAACATGACCATCCTCGGCGAGGACGTGCACGTCGGCGACGAGATCTACAGCAACGGAGGCGTCGTCCTCCCGCACAAGGAGATCAAATCCAGCATCCTGAAGCCTGAGATCGTGATGTGAGCAGTAGAATCTGTCTCTACAAGTGTAACCAATGGTGTTTGTGTGTTCGACTTTTGTGCTGTGCGTGCGGAACTAAGTTGGCAGATGGACTCTCGTGGAAGAAGTCATCGCAACGGATATATGTTTTACTCCTTTACATCAAGAAGCTGTTTACATGTGTGTGTTCTTTTTCCTGACAGATAATTCATCTGCATATCAAGAAATCATTGCAAACATTTTATTGAGGTTTAAACAGCTGATACAAGTCTTAGTAATCTAAGGAAGATGACAGCTTATCTACTTCATAAACCTACTACATCTGGGACATCAAACTGGGCACTGCGCTTGTCATCTGATGCACAGCAAAAGCAAGTTCCATTCCACAAGTACTAGAGAAGCAAAGTGAAGCTTTGATTCCATCTTCATCACCTTTGATAGCTTCTCAGTCATTCTTTGGACCTCCATGCCTGTGAGAAACAAGGGCAAATATTTCAGAATTCATGGGGACCTAAAACTCATAACTTGGTATAGAAACCAATGGCTCTAACTAATGCAAGAATTCTCTAATATACGCAGTCTCATACGTACATGCTGAAGGATGGTTTTCATGAGTTGATCGTGATCATCCAAATCGTAGAGAAACAATCTTATTATATTAGATGATTTCATATGAAAAAGGGAAAAAAAAAAACACTTAATTGTCACCATATATTGATGTGTTCACCTTTGTAGATTTGTCACATTCCTTTGACATTCTTCTTGGCTAAAATATATTATTAAGTCTTATGAGATAAAGAAATAAATCAAACTTATACAAACCAAAACTAAATATTAAGTTTATGATATTGTAAAGAGACATTTTTTGCCTACAAAAATGATAATAAAAATATTTTCGTAAACATTACTAATCCAAGAACTCAAAACTAATTTGCTGCTTTTCCTCAAGGAAAGAAATACATATCAAACTAGAAAGGAAAGAATTACTGCATCAAAGACAAATATAACTTATATAAAATGAAACAAAACACTGACTTTTCTCAACAATATATTGCTCAGTTTTTGGTTCAGTGGATTATTCTTTAACACAGCACTTGAGAGGTGGAGTTGGTTCTAATGATTGTTTAACAATGTCTTGCTAAAGAGTGGGCTTCAAATCTACTGATCACTCCAAGGTTAATGTTCACGACTATGACACAAGTTAATTGATGGGAGCAGGACATCGAATTGGAAGGTGGAAGAGGAGAAGGTTGAAATGAAACTGATGAGCTTGGCCAAGACAATGAATGAAAAATGGGGGTTTTGGAAGAGGCATGGCTTGGAGACTTTGTTCAGTTTTTGTTAAATGGTCAGTTTAACCATAGGCAAGCAGAGGAGACAGTGGTGGAGATAATAGTTTCTTGATTGAACAAAGAGAGAAGCAAAAGGCCGGACACAAACCATGTAGCTCTGTTGTTATTTTCAACTGATTATTGACCTCAATTGGACATCATGCATGCTACATCAGAAGTCACCAATATGCAATTACTAAATTTAAGCAGATTTATTGCACTCTTTGCAATGAAAAAAATAAATTTATGAAGATATATACTTACTGCAAATCTTCCTCATCTGGTTTTGTTTTTTCACTTTTTTCTTTCTCCGCTTGCTTGAGGGATAGAGACTGTTCACTCTTTCTGAACTATTATGTCGCAAGGTACAAAGGATTATGTTAACTTCTGATTCCAGACCCCACAATTTTTTTTACCTTTTTCTTGAAATACATGCTTATGATGCCTCCTAACTAGATTAGTGATCGATACACAATGATCATAAACCAAAACCAAGATTCCAGCATTCGGCCCAGTATAGGCTCAAGTCACCAGTGGATGTTGTACTGTGAATTACTTTGGCACGCTTGTGAATTTTCTACTTAGATATTCACCAACTCATATTACCAATAATCTGAACATGAGCAGACACCATCCTTGAAATGATGGAACCGATTCACATCTCTAACGAGAATCTCTCTCTTTGAAAACTTTGAGATAAACTTTGTGACACTATGACAGTCCTCACACAATCTAAGGTTCTTTGTGATCCTAATTACCTCACCATTGCCACTGTTTATGAGCCCAAATGCAACAGCCAATTTTTCACTGTGTCCCAGTAAGATCCTCTCTTTTTCTGCCAGTTCAAGATCATAGAGGACAATTTTGGTGTTTGGAACATACCCATTGTTCTTCATCTCATTCACCAGCTGAACAAGCAAAGCATGTAGCTGCTCAATCTGTGGGTTCATTTCATCGACAGATACAAATGAGTACATCTTCTTCTTCACCTCAATCCAGCTGCAACCAGGCACCTTCTGCAGTTCCTTGGTTTCTAAAAGCTTCTTTACTCTGGTCACCTCTTCCCACATCTTGGCTTCTGCATATATATCTGCTAGGAGCACATAATTCCCTGCATTTACTGGTTCAAGTTCGAAAAGACGGACACATGCTCTCTCTGCAAGCTCCACATTGCAGTGGACCCGACACGCTCCCAGTAGAGAACCCCAGACTGTGGGACCTGGCTCAATTCGCATTCCTTCTATTATCTTTACTGCTTCATCTAGTTGTCCTGCACGACCAAGTAGATCAACCATGCAAGCATAGTGTTCAGAGCGAGGCAAGATGCCATGTTCCCGGGACATTGACTCGAAGAAGCTCTTCCCCTCATCGATGAGTCCAGCATGACTGCAAGCCCCCAGGACACTCACAAATGTAATGGGGCTTGGTGATACTCCAGCACTGATCATATCATGAAAAACTTGGATTGCCTTCTCACCAAATCCATGAATACCATAAGCTGATATTATAGAGTTCCATGTCACAACATCCCTGCGATCACTCATCCTGTCAAAAGTTCGGCGAGCCATCTCAAAACTTCCGCATTTTGAGTACATGGCAATTAAAGCATTTACGACAGACAAAACAGTGTCAAGCGCATTCCTAAGAATGTAAGCATGAAAAACCTTTCCTTGTCCCAATGCAGCCAAACCAGCACAAGCTTGAAGAGCATTCACCATCGTGACAGCATTGGGAACAGTCTCAGGTTCCGTCACCATCATCTCTTTGAAGAGTTCCAGCGCATCGAAGGGCCTCTCATTCTTTGCATAGCAAGAAATCATGGCACTCCACGACACCACATTCCGCTCGATCATCCCGTTGAAGACTCGTTCGGAGTACGTGACAGAACCGAGCTTCGCGTAGCAATCGATGAGAGTGGTGACCACATAGACCCGGGACGCGAACCCATGGCGACAGACGTGGGCGTGGATCTGTTTGACTCTGTGGGGAGCCGCAGATGGGTGAGAGGAGGAGGCGATGCAAGCCTTGAGCACGTAGGAGTAGGTGAAGCTGTCCATGGGCACGCCCATCTCGCGGAAGAGGGAGACGGCCTCCTCGGCCTGGTTGGCTAGCGCGAGGGCCTTCAGGAAGGCGTTCCACACGAAGATGGTCTTCTCCCGCGTTCGGTCGAACACGTAGCGGGCGTTGTTGAGGCGGTCGAGATGGGAGTACATATCGATGAGCTTGGTGGAGAGGAAGGGGTCCTGGTCGAGGCCATGGTCGATGAGGTGGCGGTGGACGGCGGCGGCGTGGGAGGGGGCGTTGTGGCGGCCGCAGGCGAGGATGAGGGCCTCGTAGGTGCGCTGGGAGGGATTGCGCTCGTGGGGGAGGAGCTGCATGGCCTGGGCGAGGTGCCCCTGCGTGCACAGCGACTGGATTAGCCGGTTGTAGTCGCTGCCGGCGCCGGCGCTGGCGGTGAAGGGGCGGGCGAGGGGTTTGAAGCAGGAGAGAGCTCTGAGAGAGAGCAGCGGGGGGGAGTAGGAGGAGGAGAATTGGAAAGGGCGAGGGCGGGGAGGGAGAGAGAGCTGTTGGAGGAGAGCGTGGGAAGCCAACATCGGAGCAGGCGAGCTGCGGATACCGCAGTGCAAGGTTGGGGAATCGCGGTCTTCGCGGGAGAACAGGAACGGGGACGCGCGACTCCGATTACGAGCCACATCCACTGCGAGCGTACGCTGCGCTGCTGAAGGCGGCCGCTTCCCTTTGGCCCCACCGAGGACAGGGAATCCACTAACCAATAGAATGATGGCACGTGGATGCATAAAGTAAAAAAAAAACTAAGAAAGCAGTCCAAAATACAACGACAAACACACTCTATATAGAAAAAAAATTTAAATATTGGATGAATAAATGACCACATTCTAAACTATTTTTGAAATGAATTGATCTAATTAAATATCATTTACCAAAAAATAATATATACCAACATGCTAATTGAGATGCAAAGATGTCTCATTCACATTCTTGTCTTAATCATTCCCTAAATAAGATTGTTCATATATTAAATTTTGTACACATTTCATTCCCCTCCTCCTATATCTCAGTGTACACATTTTTATTGAGCGATAATTACCATCTTCTCTACTTCTATTGCAATTATATTGTTCATATGTTATGGTTTGATCCATAAAACTAGTATTTCTCCTTCAAAAAATAAAAATACATCTCAGCCATTACCCCACTAAATACCAAATCCTATTTTTGAATCAGCCCATTAGTGAAACAAACAGCGATTATATAACATAATTATTTGTCTAAATAGCAAATCCCACTGCATAGCATGTCATGCTTCATCCATCAAAAGGTCTCTGACCTAATAATGTGGTTTTCTGCAGTGCATGGTTGTTTATATGATACATCATACAACTGAAACACTTGATATCAAATAGTAAACATGGCTTCCAAGAGATCATACAAGCCGAAGCAAGAACATTTCTTCTCAAGGGGAGAAACAGAGTCTATAATATCAGTAGAACTGTAAACAAAGAAATTTACACAAGGTACACAGATAACAGGCTCACAATAGGTTGATTTGAAATTTTACATTCATATCAAACTCATACTTGATGTGACTTTTTGCTCTATCACTTTCTTTATGCAGAGCAAAACTTGAGACTCTGAACAATATTAGCTTCTGTTGAGATGCGATGTAGTTCCTTTCGCAGAGCTTCTTTCAGAGGTTTTGTGGTGTTGCTAATGCAGTGTGAGCGGCAAGAGAGACAATCTTTTGTCTGTAAAACATTTCATGTTCAGCCAGGAACGTTGAAGTGGAAGAGCCAGGAGACAACAAAGGCAAGCACCAGACATGCAAGCAGGAACTTAAGAAATCGGTGCCCCTGCCAAAAGCTCCGAGCTTCAGATGGTGGTGCAGGAGGCGGTGCTGCAGAAGTATTAGCCTCATTCCGTTGCTCTGAGGGTTCGTTCTCGCTCACACCAACCACGTTGGATGCAGTTGAACAACAAATCTCACAGATCCTAGAATAAGAAATACATACAAAAAAGATTTAGGAGTCAAAATCAAAGACGAGATAAATGAGACGCACCATATGAGTGGCTAATAAGCTGAGAGGATCTGATCGAAGATTGTCCATGTGATAGAAATGCTGAATCACAATGTCATACAAATATGATAAAGTGATGAAGGGGGGCTCTGGCACTAGCTTAGGACCTAAGGCGAAGTAAAGTCTGACAATATGTTCCATTCACAAACTTTATGCTTCTTCATAGACTCTGACAACATATTCTAAGGTGACAAGGCATTGACAAATTTTTTGTTTGCACACTCATGCTTAAATTGACAAATTCTAAGTTACAAAAGGTGAAGGAATTTAAACCAGTCAAGTGAGAAATATATCCTTAACATGGTATCACTGATAATATTGCCTGCATCCTTAGTACACCAAATGGGTTAGATGTTTAAACCCTAATTCATAGAGGCACTGTCAGATCAGTTAAAATCACAAGATCGAACTGGAATGTCAGAATTTAAGATGGACAAAAGGCCATCATCCTTGCAGATGCAGATCAATTCTTTCTTATGGAAGTGCCTAATACTCATGATAATTGATTTCTAACTTTCTACTACTGTTAATTTATGTTCTATAACCGCATTAGTTTAGTATTTTGATACTAAGATAAAAACATACATACATAAAATTTCTCCAATCTAATTAGAGAAAAACTTATTTTTGTAAGTATCAGCGAGAACACTACTGTCCTCAAAAGTAATTGACATGACCATATATATGATTGTTATGTGCTGCCACATATATATGTGCAAGCTGATATGCTGCACTGCATTTTGGATTTGCAGTCCCCCTGCATAATTTGCCCAAATGTTGTCAACTTACCAAATATTATGCAGTTTTGGGTGTATACAAATGCAGCAGGCACAATGGATCAACTAAAAGTCTGGATCATCCATGGAATGTGATGGTGATAAAAGGATGTTTTATCCTGAAAAATGCCCTGAGGCCTCTTCCAGAAACTTGAAATCGGAGCATGCCAACCAGCACTTGTGGTTTAGGTACTTGCTAGATAGGAACAAGAAAATAAGGTTTTATCATCCTTCATTCCTTGTTCTCCTTTCCCTTTACATCCTAGCTCAACTTAATCTCCTTTGCTACCTTATCCAGTGCCCTCACACTAGTCATATATTACCACAACTCCAATGCTTTATGTCACTGTTGGCCACTCTCTTTCTAATTGTTGATTCAACAGTCACTCTCTTTGTTAAATCTGATCTAAAAGTTGTTCGGTGGTGGAGAATGGTTAATATGTCTTAGTAATTGTATGCCTCTGCCTATAATTTTCATTCAACATATGACAAACAAATTATTGCATTTTCTCCTTATAGCTAGTTTTTCAAATTTATTATTTAATCCTAGCTTTTAAGCTACCCTCTCACATTATGCTAAAGTTTGTTGAATAACTAGATCAAGAAATTAAACCTTAGCATTTCTGCTTGTTGCTGGATTTACTTTAATCATTTTCTAAGTGACTAGATTCATACATATTTTTTCAATTCAAGATATTATTGTATCATTTAAGACACAAACTAACTTCATATGGTTTATGTTAGCGCATCACATAAAATAAGAATTTTTGTACGTGTACCACAGATGTTCTTTGTATAACTGCCCAGCTCTATGAATTGGAAGCAGTCTAATTCATTTTCTTATTTGATTTTTTAGAAAATATCCAAGATCAGATTAATACCCTACCAATATGTAAAGAAATAGAAGATGGGAGGATAAGAGTCATGTGTTAATGAAGCATTTCTGATTTCATATAACACCACGCCAGAAAAATGATAACAACAGCATAAGCCAATATTACTTGAGCTTTCCTTAAAAAGAACTAATAAGGTGATGGTACCTTAGTAGCTACAACTAGTAAAGGTAAAAGATCATGAAAAAGTTTGACAGGATACACCCAATAGAAAGAAAAATAAGAGGAAAAATCCAAAGAAGTTTTAGATATGCTAATAAAAATACATACACTCGAAGAAAATTTCAATAACTTGAATTCATCAGCAGTCACAGTGCAACCAAACTGTGACAGTAATCAAGGTGAGAGAACAATTTGAATGATGTGAATTACATGATATTAACAAGAGATAGAACAACTACTTATACAGATAGATTGTGGTGACCAACATGTCATTTGTGATAAGAAAATTTTAATATACCACACTTCTTCTAAATCTAAGTTGAGAAGATTGTGGTGACCAACATGTCATCTGTGATAAGAAAATACCACACTTCTCCTAAATCTAAGTTTAGAGAAGAAGACAAGGGGAATACCTAAACACCATGGAGACAGATCAAAAAGGAATCCTAGAGTTTATTCTCCCCGATATTCACTCGTCCTTATCAGTTTATTAATTCAGAAATGAACTTTTCACCATGATTTTGAGCTTCCTACCTTACCACTGAAATATTCTATCACTTGATATATTGTTTTGGTTCTTCTATCTAAACCAATTTTTTCTCTTTCCTTTCATTAATAAAGAACATGTGCAATTTCCACATACATCAAATGCGGAATTGTAATTGATGTTCAACAAATATGGCACCATAATTCAACCAAGCAAAGACCGTCCATTTCCTAAAGAACGGCATGACCTAAGAAGCAACTAAAAATTGCAGAAAGAATATGCCAAGGTAAAGCTTACTTGTTTCCTTTGATTTTAAACCATGTCTCAGCACACTGCTTGTGGGCAGCAGCTAAATCATCCTTGCAAGAACAACCTAATACAATGGGGGCTCCGGACTCTGGAGCCGCCTTCTCCAAGCTGAGATGACAAATCCTGCAATCTCGCTCAATCTTATCTATATCGATCTTCACCTCCGAAGCACCAGTCTCCGGATCATCATCAAGTGAGGACTCTGAGAGACAGGATTTTCTACAGGGCTCTGGAAATCCATCGATCTCACGGTCGGATGCACCAGAGACACTGCAGTCATTGTAAGTCGAACCAGCAAAGTTATAGCCATAGGGCGAATGCCAAGAATGTTCTTCGGCATCTGAGAAGCTGAGGCTATCTTCATCACTCTGGTTTAAATGAGAGTGGTGTGGTCCTTCTTCCATGTCCCCAGAGGATTTCTCACCCTTTTTAGCCATTTATCAAGGAGTTTAAGAACAGAACTTACAGTATGGCATGAAATGCCCCAAAAGTGTTGGTGTCTTTGGGTAAGCTGAATCAAAGGCAAGTAATTTCGACAAACACTTGACGCAAAACCTACTTGATGGTGTTTCTACATGTCGATCAAGTCCATTCATCAAGAAGCAAGAAGTCCAACAAGAATAAGAACAAGGCCCTTAGTCAAATATCAAGGAACAAAAATCCCAGAGGCAGAATCTAAAGATCATCCCAAAATTGAATCTTTCTACCAAATATTTGAAGTGAACTGATCCAAAAGCATATATATTGGACAACTCCAGTATGACACTAAAGTTACCAAAAAAATGTCCCAGGAAAAGGTCTGATCCAAGAGACTAGGCATAACTGCACCCAGAATTACATTAGACAAGCTTTTGTACCACAAAATTGGCCAAAAACCAGCACCATAGTTGGATTCATGCAATGCATCAAGAGATGGGGAGTGAAGGAAAGCAGCACTGGAGATGGAATTCTGTTGGCTTCCATCCTATGACAAAGAAGCAAAGTGCAGAAATGCTCCACAAACGAAGTAATTATTAAAAACAAAAACCAATCCACAGTGACCACATTAAGATCTTTCAGAGGTTTCTGCCTCTGTAGACTGAAGGAAAAGATAAGAGGGTACAGCAGATGGTGCAGCAGAGAAGGTTGAACTCTCTCTGATTGTAGGAACCAGAAAAATTAAACAAGAGGCATGGGAAAAGGTAGAGACCCAAAGAAATGCACAGGCTTTGGCTTCTTGTTGACAGTGGTGGGGTCATTAAAAAAATGAAAGCAGAGAGAGAGAGAGATCAGGTTTAAACAAATAGTAAAGGTTTGCTTGCCCATAATCATAAACCCTTAGCAAGTTAAGTGTGGGAGCCAAAAGAAAGATCTCACAGTTATATGCACTTCTGTTTAATTATCACAGGTATTCCTAGCTAATCGCATCACTTCTCTATGAACAGTGACTCAGAGAGCAAAACTGCACTCTGATGCAAAATTTGGCTCCAAGTAAGCTCCCTAATTAAATCATTTTAGCATATGTATACTAGCATTGAGGTATTTTTATGTATTCATCATCTGAAATTACATAATGATATAGAAGAATAAATTATGAGCTATTTGGTTGAGATATACTAGGAATAAGAATAATATTTACCAAGAACAGGTATGATTGCAAGGGGATCCAATGTGGGCGCAGTGGGATCAGCAGCCACTAAAATATGAGGAAATAACAACGGTTCTTTTACAAGCATAACTATTAAAATGAGATATCTATCCAATCAAATTATACGTCACTGAATCATAAATCGAATCGATAAATCGAATGATCGGAGTCATACATTTAATTTTTTTTTAAATAAATAAAATATTATTATGTTAAAAGTATGAAAAATATGGATAATGTTATAAAAAAATTATTGTGATAAGTGACAAATGATGATAGAGACCGAAAACGAGAGATTAAAGATTAGTGAATATTACAAATATTTTTTCCAACCTTATAATAAAAAGACCTAGATATTCTTGTGAAAAATATAATATCTTTGATAATAAATAAAAAATTAAGAACACGTGAATCTTTTTAAGATTAAGAAAATCTAACTAGTGAATTGAATCGAACCACCCATTGACATTCTAGAAAAGATTATAGCTTTTTATGATTTCATCTCACATAACAAAAAGGAGCATTACGATAATGCCAAGGAAGAATAATCAAATCATCTTTTTTCATACCTCATCATGCGTTCAAGCCACGCGTACCTTCCCATGGAAGCAATCGTTTCTTCCATCACACTATTGCACTCTTTGTTGTTTTCCCTGCAGTGCAGATTATAATGATCGATAACATCAAATGTAATCATGCATTTACTTCTTTTAACAATATATCTTATAAAAACTATTTCTTATCAAATATTTTCCTATACATAAAACGCAGAATTAACCTCCATCATGGCCACGGATGCTTTGAAATTCCACACGAATTTGATGGGTCATTTGGATCCACATGAGACAATGATGCGTGGCATTAATGCGCCCAGAAACTTAAAGATATTCCCACCCTTTGCCCGTTGTGACCCACTTGAGTTTGTGCAGTGATGAAATCGGCCAAGCCTGGCTATTTGTTGTTCCACATGTTCACGCCCCTTTAGATATTCCACATCTTCCACCGCTGATTCCACCACAACGAAGGACCATATCTGGGATTTAGTATCACCTCAGATATAGACACAAACTGATGGGTACCTGCACACTTCATTCATTCTCAAAAACATCAGTCCATTCATGTACTCCAGAAACGATTCTTATTTTCAATTAATTAAAACTCGATACGACAATACGTGAAGTCTAATCAATGTTATATCGATGTCATCCAACGATATACCATAGCTTCTGGATATAAGGAGGAGCTTGAGACATCTGTTTATTAATTATGAGATATCTTATATTAATATAATGCCTAGAGAGAGTATCACCTTATTAAACCTGACGATCACAAAACTAAGACTATATAAAACAGTTTCTTCAGGTATATCTTTATTTTGAATGTATTGAAGTAAACTTGAGTTCCTAAGCTAATATTTTTTATGCACAATAACTTGATCATCAAAGGGGTCTCACTTTTACACTCCTAATGTAATCTTTTGAAGTAAGAAATAAGACACATATGCTTTCAGCCCATAAACTGATGTTTTTTTATCCTTAGACTGAAATAGGATACAGAATATGAATATTTTCTACATACAAAATAAAATTCTCTCTAGCTAATCATTTTTTCTACTCTTCAATAGGTGATAATACTCAGAAAATGAACAAAATCTAATTAATTTTATCATGATCAAAATTGACTGTATCAGAAATAATTCTTTCCCTGTTGTTGCTATACAAAAAATACAAGTGTGATTCCAAATATTATTTATGACAAAAATATCATTATATTTTTGTATTGATGTATGATCTAAAATTTTGCATCAATGTAAAAGTTCGGTATGTCCACGATTAATCTTGTAGAATAATATCATGTTGTACCAAAATAGAATAAATAATTTCGAATGATACCATCCGGTACAGACGATACGTACTGGTCTGATGATATACCGGTATGTAGACCACGTGTTATAATACTACAGTATTACACTGTAGCAGTGCTATAGTAGAGAGAAAGAAATATTTAAAATTAGGTATATCGCTCGGTACGTCCTGGTGTACTGCTCGATATACTCTGATGTACTGCTCAATACACGGTATCGTATCGTACCGAGTCAATCTCGAAATATCGATACGGTATGATATTGTATACCTTAAGAATGACTATAATAAATGCAAAGCAATCAACGGATAAGCATTAAATTAAAGCTTGGATCTGTAAAGGAAAGGCAACACCTTGTTAGGTGACAAAACAAGCACATGATCGAGTTGTTTGTTCTCTGCCGCACTAGTCCAGTTCCTTGAAACATAGCCTGCTTATAGGACCCGGTGGCAATCATAAACATCTTCACTTTGGGAGACATGTGAAACTGGGAGTTGTTGAGCAAGAGCAGGGTACCTTTTTCTTTTAAAGGATGGTTTATTTTTCTTTTCTTTTCTTCAGATGATGTAACTGCGTCGGTGGCATTAAAACAGGAGGAAGCATCAGTGATGATATTATTTCAGAATGAAAGACTAGTATATGATTTATAACAGCAGCTCACCAAGGCCTCTCCATGTAATTGAATAAGTCCATATACAAGGTTTAGTAAAATTAGGTGTGCGATGGTGAGTTGCTTCTTTTTCTTAAAGCTGGAAGACATGAGACCGATCTTGCCAGTGTCCCATCTTCGGGGCTGTCCGTCGATTCTGCCTAATACTTGAAATTAGTTTCATGATAAAATACATGTCCAGAGAGAAATTACTAAAACAATAAAAACACAAATATTTTTATCAAGCAATAAAATCTGGAAATATACTGTTTCGAAAGTATGAGAAGAGAAATGACCTACTAGGGTTACTAAATTATTGGGACAAAATGCGAGAAATTATTTGCACTTGTAACAATCATGTTGAAATTTGCACATTAATGGGAACAAATTGTAAACGACAAACAAATCATAAACATGATAATAATTATTTTAGTAAGCATTCCTTTTATGTAGCAGCAATTTATGTCATGACGTTCTTCAACCAAGCTAAAATCTAACAGAACGATTCATTCACGTAATTGTCTGACATTTAGATCAAGGACAGCACCATCCATTCTTCGGTGAAACCTCTACACTGGCAGGAAAAATAACAAACAGATGCAGAGCATCGAAGAAATATGTTTTCCAATCGAAGCTAATGGAGAAACTCAAACACAGTATTGCACAAACGAGGATGCCGTGAACAGTCATAGGCACCTCGATACTGAACCCGAGAATGTGCAGCGGGATGGGGAACAGTTTAGAGAGGCCATGAAACAACGGCATCTCTCTCTTTTCATTAACTTTCCGTAGTTACAGATGTAGAAAACGACAGCAAACACCATGCAAAACATCAAGCATGAGCAGGGTTCTGATAAAAGCATCGCTACGCAAACCCGACATCAACATTGTGAACCTAATCAAGCGTTCGTACTAAGCTTATTTACGATTATTAGAAACTAGTAAACTGAAAGAAGCTAGACTCAGATCTGATGATTAACACCACCAAAGCATCATCTACTCCAAGTTTGTGCATAGTCACCAGGAACGCTCTAACCAGAGATGTCGATGGACTTGACGTGGGGCTTGTTGACATCCTCCTTGGGCACGGTGACGGTGAGCACGCCGTCCGCCATGGCTGCCCTCGCCTGCTCCGCCTTGGCGTTCTCCGGCAGCAGGAACCGCCGCAGGAAGCAGCCACCGGTTCGCTCCACGCGGTGCCAGGTACCGGTCTTATCCTCCTCGTCGTCCCTCTTCTTACCGCTGATCTGTAGGATACGGCCGCCCTCCACGTCCACCTTCACCTCCTCCTTCTTCAGCCCCGGGAGGTCGGCTATGAAGACGTGCGACTCCGGTGTCTCCTTCCAGTCGACGAGGGTGGAGATGAGCGCCGAGGCTTCGCTCAGGAGAGCGGACGGGGGGCGGGGGACGGGGAGGAGAGAGGAGGAGCCGAAGGGGACGCCGTCGAGGAGATGCCACACGTCGACGGAGATGGGGCCGAAGGCGTTGCTTCGCGGAGGGTTCAATCCGGAACCGGGGGAAACGAGCGACGCCATTGGATCGGTGGAAATGGTGAAGAGGGAAAGGGGGAATATATAGGGAAGTGGGAGTTGGTTTCTGGAAGTTTCTCGAGGCTCGTATGGGAGGGTGACGGATCGCGCTAAAAGACAGAAGAAAGAAAAAGGCATCGTACCCGAAAACTATACCAGGGACGTTGTCGTGGCCTCGGAACCTTCTCGAATCTTCTGGAGGCTGTAACGTCATGGGCTGGGTTTGTTATAACTTGGGCTGCATCCAGTTACCGATATGCCCTCGACAGTTATTTCGTTTATAAAAAAAGAAAATGAATACTATTAGTTATTTATTTAGTATATATTATGATAATTTGTAAGGTTCCACGTTAACGTGCATGAAAGCCGTCAAGCAGTCAACGAAACACAAGGCAGCAAAAAGGACGCAGGCAAAATGGTCGGACGACTCAAAGCGCTCCATGGGGAACGACCACGCGGGCTTTGAACTCGGTGCACACCACAGCAGGAAGAAAGCGAGAACGAAAGAGAAGAAGTCCATGGGAATCCC